AGCTTTACGGGGCAAACGGCCACGGAGATGTTTGGGGAACTCGACCCCCTGCAGCAGGGCTGGGAGACACTGGCTGTGGCCCCCAGAAGATGCCCCCAGCCCAGCCTGAAGCTGCCTTGCAAACCTCCTCCTCCTCTCCTCCTCCATCGCAGGCACTTTTCCCACTGCCCGCACCGCCCCTGCGGGCTCGGCACAGCCAAGACGTTTTTCTGGGAGCCACGAAGACAAGCTGGAGGTGATCTCATCCCGAGAGTATTTTCTTGGCTCCCTCGCCCCGTCCCAGCTCCTCCCTGAGCCGGCGGGGCCCTGAGCTCCGTGGGAGGGGTTTGCATTGCCCAGCCCTGTGTCACCCCGGGGAGCCCCAACACCGGCACCTGCGCTCACCCCCTGCCTCCCTGGATCCAAGAGGAGCCCAGAATTCCCACCCAACAACACGGCCCCAGCTGAGATTTCCACCTGCACCTTCCCACCTGGACAAGGGGGACCAGGGGATATGGGTCCATCAGAGAATCATGGAATGGTTTGGAGTTGGGAGGGAGGTTAATGATCATCCAGATCCAACCCCCTGCATGGGCAGGGACACCTCCCACCAGCCCAGGCTGCTCCAAGCCCCATCCAACCTGCCCTTCAACACTGCCAGGGATGGGGCAGCCACAGCTTCCCTGGGCAACCTGGGCCAGGCTCTCACCACCCTCACACTCCACAATTCCCTCCTCATGTCTCACCTCAATCTCCCCTCACCCAGTTTTCATCCCTTCCCCCTTGTCCTCTCCCTCCCTGCCCTTGTCCCAAGTCCCTCCCCAGCTTTCCTGGAGCCCCTTCAGGCACTGGAAGCTGCTCTAAGGTCTCCCTGGAGCCTTCTCTTCTCCAGGCTGAACACCCCAACTCTCCCAGCCTGTCTACATAGAAGAGCTGCTCCAGCCCTCAGTTTCACCTTCTCCAGGAGAAAACTTAAAGACTGAGGCTTTTCTTACCTCTCCAGCATTAGAGAGAAGAGGAAGCTCTTCAGATCACTTTCCAAAGAGGTGTTATCAGCCCAGGAGGGGTTTCCTGCTGCCAGAAATAGAGCGATGTTGAGATAGGAAGGGAAGTGGGATGACGCAGGCGTAGATAAGGTCGGTGGATGAGCCAGGAGAGGCAGCCCAGCTGCCAGGGGGAGATGGGCTGGCTCCCTTGGGATGGGGGTGGATTGCCCCATGCTCCTGGGAAAGAGCAGAGCCACAGCTGTCCACCCCTGGACCTGCTGCTGCTGGCTTGGTATCTTCAGAGTGGTGTGTACATCCATCCATCCATCCATCCATCCATCCATCCATCCATCCATCCAGAGTCAGGCCTGGGCCAGGGTTTCCAGGCTCAGCATGTTCTTGGAGACACAGGGCTGGGAGCCACATCCTCCACATGAAGGAGCAGACCCTCACTGGGGTTACAGGGTCTCCTCCTCGCCCACAGGGCTGATTCCCACATCCAAAACTCCAGCCCGGCAGGTTTGACTTGTCACTCGTAAAAATGGACTGAAAAACTTGTTTCTTGAGCCCTGCTCCTGTTTGATGAGCTTCCGGGCACTAAGCACAGGCCCAGGAGCTCCCTGGGTGGAGATGCTGCCAGGCTTTAATCCTCAATCCAGCCTGACCCCACCAGAGCAGCATCCTTCACCTCTGAGTGTGTAACATGGTGCTTCTCTTCCTCCGAGCACCAACTCCTTCCCCTGAGCACTTTCTCTGAGTGCTCCCCTGCCCTCAGGTCTCTCACCTGATCCATCGTGGGGGGATTTCTATTTTATTCCCATTTTTTTGGAAGAAACCTCAGAGGGAGAGAGCTGTGCCTGCAGCCCCTTCCTGCTGTGGCATCCCATGCCTTGTGGGATGCTTGGGATGGCCTGGGGGTGATTCCAGGCTGGGATGGGGTGGGTTTCATAGAATCATTGAATCATAGAATTGTTTTGGTTGGAAAAGGCCTTTAAGGTCCAACTTGACAGTGTACCTCAGTGTCACATCTACCACAGCTTGTAAATCCCTCCAGGAATGGGAATGGTTACTCCACAGCTTCCCTGGGCAGCCTGGGCCAGGACCTGACAACCCTTTTGGGGAAAAAATTGTTCCCAATATCCCACCTAAACCTCCTCTGGACAACCTGAGGCCGTTTCCTCTTGTTCCTGGGGAGCAGAGCCCGACCCCCCTGGCTCCAACCTCCTCTCAGGCAGCTGCAGAGCCAGCAGGTCTCCCCTCACCTCCTGGTCTCCAGGCTGGACACCCCCAGCTCCCTCAGCTCCTCACACTTGTGCTCCAGCCCCTTCATCAGCTTCTTAGCTCTTCTCTGCACACCCTCCAGCCCCTCAATGTCCTTCTTGTCCTGAGGGGCCCAGACCTGACCCCAGGAGGTGCAGCCTCCCCAGCAGGAGCAGCAAACCAAAGAGAAGAGGCTGAACCCCCCAACCCCCCCACCCCACCACCA